TTGTTCGTGTGTATGAGAGAGGAGGGCTAGGTCATCTGCGAAGTCCAAATCATCTAATTGATTCTGAGCTGTCTATTGTATTCCGTATTTCCCTTCAGATGTCGAATTCTTCACAATCCAGTCAATCACTAGAAGGAAGAGTAATGGGGAGAGTAGACAGCCTTGTCTGACTCCGGTCCTTACTGGAAATGTGTCTGTCAGCTGTCCTCCATGCACCACTTTGCACTGTAGTCCATCGTATGAGTTTTGGATAATGTTGACAATCTTTTCAGGAACTCCATAGTGTCGAAGAAGTTTCCATAATGTTCTCCTGTCCATGCTGTCAAACGCCTTCTCATAGTCAATAAAGTTGACGTATAGTGATGAGTTCCACTCAACTGATTGTTCAACGATGATCCGTAGTGTCGCAATCTGGTCTGTGCACGACCGATCCTTACGGAATCCAGCCTGTTGATCCCTAAGTTTGGCGTCTACTGCGTCTTTCATCCGATTCAGCAGCACTCTGTTGAAAACTTTTCCTGGTACTGATAACAAACTGATGCCTCTGTAGTTTTCACATTTGCTCTGATCTCCTTTCTTTGGTATCTTTATGAGATATCCTTCTTTCCAGTCCGTTGGCACTTATTCCTCTTCCCAAATCTTCTTGAATAGAAGGTGAAGCATGTTTGCAGTTATTTCAATATCTGATTTCAGTGCTTCTGCTGGTATATTGTCAGGTCCTGCTGCCTTCCCACTTTTGATTTGTCTGATGGCCATCTTGACTTCTTCGATCGTTGGTGGAGTGACATCTATTGGAAGGTCAGTGTGGGCTGCTTCGATGTTCGGTGGATTCAATGGGGCTGGTCTATTCAGCAGTTCCTCGAAGTATTCTGCCCATCTTTTCCTCTGTTCTTGAATCTCAGTGATTGTCTTTCCTTCTTTGTCCTTGACTGGTCTCTCTGGTTTGCTATATCTCCCTGCCAATTTCTTCGTTGTATCATATAGTTGTCTCATATTCCCTTCTCTTGCAGCTTTTTCCGCCGTCGTTGCTAGTTCTCCCATGTATTTCTGCTTGTCGGCTTTAATGCTTTTCTTCACTTCTCTGTTTGCTTCTGCGTAGTCTGCTTGTGCTTTGACTTTCTCTGCTCGTGTTAGACTGTTGTTAATTACTAGTTTCTTGTTTTTCCTTTCTTGAATTTTGTCCAGGGTTCCCATAGAGATCCATTCCTTGTGATGATGCTTCTTAGGACCAAGAACCTCCTGGCACGTTGAAGTTAGTGCTTCTTTTATCCCTTTCCAGTTGTCCTCCAAAGTAGTTTCTTGTTCATTTAGTAGATCCTGTAGAGCCTGGAACCTGTTGTTGAGAGTTATCTTGAATTCATTGAGCTTATCAGTATCTCGAAGGAAGGCTGTATTGAACCTTTGTAGTGCTGTTTGTCCACTTGTCCAGTGTTTCTTCAGCTTCAGTCTCATCATGACCACAACCAGGGTTCTCACATCTTCCATTGATGTTCGGAATTTTTTGTTGATACAAATGTGATCTATCTGGTTCTCTGTGGTTTGGTCCGGTGAGATCCATGTAGCTTTGTGTATGCGCTTGTGTGGGAATATTGTGCCACCTATAACTAATTTGTTGAATGCACATAGGTTTGCAAGTCTCTCCCCATTTTCGTTTCTCTCTCCTAATCCATGTCGTCCAATTACATCTTCATATCCTGTGTTGTCCACTCCAACTTTAGCATTTAGATCTCCCATCAGGATGGTGAGGTCCTTTCGTGAGCACTTCTCTGTAATTGATTGCAGCCTTTCATAGAACTGATCTTTATCATCGTCGTTGCTATCATTGGTGGGTGCATAACACTAGATAATGTTCATTGTGATCTCCTCCCTCTTTGTTCTGAATGATGCTTTGGTTATCCTTGGTCCATGAGATTCCCATCCCACAAGTGCATTTCGCGCTTCTTTGGACAGCATTAAAGCAACTTCCTGAGTGTGTGGAGCATTTTCCCCTTCGTGACAGGAGTACAGCAGCATCTCTCCTGTACCAAGCCTTTGTTGTTCAGTTTGTGTCCAATGGGTTTCGCTGATTCCGAGTACTGCCAAGTTGTATCTTCTCATTTCCATTGCTATTTGGCTGGTCTTTCCTGTCTCCCACATTGTCCGGACGTTCCATGTACCTATAAAGAGTGTTACTCTGGTTGTTAGAAGGTGCATTGGTCTCGTGACTTCCGAAGAATTTCGGCTTTCATCATGAGACGTCATAATTATTCCTTCAACTCCCAGGGTAGAGTTTAAATGGTTTGAATTATTTTTTCTGGTTAGCGTTTTTTTAGCGAGTTAGCTTTCCTACGGGATTGGGTCGCTAATCCCATGCCCAACTCTCCTCCTTTACCCGGGCTTGGGACCGGCGGTAACTCTAGAAGAGCTACAGGCGAAGTTTTTTATATACTACCGCCACTAAATTAAATACTTCTATGAATTCGGTGTTCATCTTGTTATGCTGATGAGGTTTGGCAACTTGGACCGATGCATAAATGTGCCTGGTCCTACGTTGTAGTTGATTGACTGACATTTGATGGTAGAATCTACTAACGTAGGTTTCCTGTAGTGTTAGAAATGATTGGTTAAAAACTCGCATAGGAGTAATACTATTTAAAATTAATGACAACAATACTCATTGTCTACTCGTATATTTCCCTTAGTTTAATCTATCGTTTAGGGATAGGGATTAACATACTTTCTATGGGTTTTTTTAAAGCTCGACAGCTCAAAATGATTCATTCATGTGCAAAGTAATCACAGAATAACCCAAGTTGTTGTTATACTTAGTTACGCCTGTTACCCCTAGTGGAGGAGCATAGGCTGCCTTCCAACACTCTTCATAGAACTTTGTCCTGAACAATCCTTTCCAGTTCTTTCCAGTTTCTATTCATTCTTTTCATATCTGCTTCCAATTCTCGGGGCAGTATGTTCTCTTTTTCGTTACTTTTCAGGATTCTGAGTTCAGGATTACCCTGTGATGCAATTTTATGATTTTCTGATTGTGTTTCATATTCACTTCCAACGTCTTTCCCTAATTTCCTCTTCAACTGCACGCTCTTTTGTCCTCTTCCACAGAAGTTTGTTGCTTATGTTATCCGGTCAATAAACATTCAATATCTTACGTAGACAATCGTTTATAAATACTTGTACTATTTTGATGATGGTTGTGGTAGTTCTCCAAGTTTCAGCTCCGTAATTCATATTCAGTGAAGTCAATTTAAATAAGATTTATAGCATTTTCATAGTTGAAATCATGAGTCAATTGAAGCTAGACCACCATGGAAAACCTAAAAGTACTGGACGACTGTTTCGATGTAGTATGGGAGTCCTTAAAAGTGTGTATCCACGATCCCGCTCGCATGATTCGAACCCAAGACTTATCCGTCTCGCGCACGAACGCTTAACCTCTAGACCACTGAACCGGCATTCAACAGTGTTAATGTGTAACTTCAATCAATCCATGACATTACGCCATCATCCACCATTATCTCACAACAGACGTGGTTGAACTCCACTGGTTACTGCTTCTCACTAGAACTGGTTGGTCCTGGGTTCGAATCTCGCGAGGTGGGATCGTGGACGCGCACTGCTGAGGAGTCTCACAATAGAACGAAACGACCGTCCAGTTGCTTCCAGGTTTTCCATGGTAGTCTAGCTTCAATTAACTCAGGATTTCAACTATGAAAATACTGAAATCTCTACAAAACCCCTTCTAACATTTATAGGTTTAATACTTTTACATTTAACATTTATGAAAAGAATTAAATCTTTAACATCATAAAGTTTGTTTTAACGAATTATGTAACGATAAATTTTGTTTACACACCTGTATTTTACATTCTATGTCATTATTTTCATTATAATCAGAATGGGTGTTTGTGTAGATTGTAATAATTTTCATAGTTGAATTTATGAGTCGATTAAAGTTAGACCACCCTGGGAGCATTGAACGATTTGTTTTGTCTAAGTATGGGACTTCTTAGGAGTGTGTATCAATGATCAAACCTAGGAACTTTGGTCTCGCGAGCGAACACTTAGTCTCTAGACTATTGAACCAGCATCTAAAGGTGTTAATATCTAACTTCCATCGACACGTGAATGGCTTAGAAGTCCCATATTAGGACGAAACGGCTGTCTTGTACTATCAGGTTTTCATTGGTGGTCTAGCTTACATCGATTCATGAATTCAACTATCAAAATTACTACAATCTTCATAAACCTCCATTCTGATCATGATCATCATGTGTTCACTAGTGACTAACTTCAAAATGGATTTCCTGAAATTCTGGTGAGAAGCTGTGGTCAGTGGTGTCCAATCTGTGTCATGTAAAAACAGGTATTTATCTCAGACAATGTATGAATAGTTGCACAAGATCATGGATCAATTGAAGTTACACATTAACCCCATTGAATGCCAGTTTGGTAGTCTAGAGATTAAACATTCACGTGCGAAACCAAAGCTCCTGGGTATAATTGAACTACCTAAATGGTTAACCATTATTTAATGCTTATTAATGATAAGTTGGGAGATAGGCTACTTAATATTCCATTTTAATAATCAAATCATTTAATATAATGACAAAATAGTTAGATTAGAGACAATAATCGATTCTAAATGTTTAGACTAACTTTTCTATTTGATCAGCAGCATTTTTCTATCATGATTCTCATTACTATAACTGTACTACTGATGTTAACAGATATAAGTAGTATATAACATCAATCAGAAATGGAAGACCTGATATCAGAAAATTAAGACAATCGGATCCATAAGAAGTGGAACAGATATTAATTCTTATAGTAGATTGAGTTACATTAAACCTGGAAGTACTGGACAACCGTTTTCCTTGGTTCTCCTTGGTGGTCTAACTATGAAAATACTAAGATCACCATAAAACCCCTTCTGATTAAATCAAATCATTGTTAAAATGAATTAATCTTAAATTTCTTTATGATTTTCTTTTGTTTTTATTGTATAGGCATCAGTTTATCAAATAGAATGGTCACCATTTGTACCAGAGATATTTCTTTCTTGTTCTGCTGATATGACTATAAGATTATGGCATATAGATTATCAAAAACCATTGATTACTATACAAAGAAATATGGTAAGTGCAAAAAATATATTACATAATCATTTGTAGAATGCTCTCTGGTTTGTTTTACACTTTTTTTTTAGTAAGATATTAACGATTGAATGGTTAATCGATCTCGAATCATCCCATTGATATTTAGGACTGATATTGATTAGTTTCTTATCATTGGTATATGTGTATACTGTGTGTATTGTCTCAATATAGCCTTAATTCACAAGTATTATAAACAAAGATGAATAGTGACTAGCAGTGTAATCCAGTTTGACGCGTATTTCGTCCTATTTGGAACTCATCAGCCCTATATACCTCCATCTCAGAGTTGATGTTCACTCTGTGATTCAAACCCAGTACTATCCTCTTCAAATGCCATCGCATTCTCCACTTATCTACTAATTCCTCAGTACATTTAGCTGAAGAGTCCTAAATAGAACGAAACACGTGTCCTAGATCTTACTACTAACCACTATTCATCTTTATTTACAAATTAGATTAAGCAAATGATAATAACAGACCCTTCTTTTCTTTTCTTTTTTTTAAAAACGTTTTCATAAATTAATTAGATTATTTAATTAATTAATATAATTAATGCATGTTTCTTTCTCTTTTACATTAAACTACTAATTGATATAAGTAATATATTTAGTTTAGACAAATTATTATTCATGTACATAAATAGATATATACTTGTATATGTATAGTTGAAAAAAAAAGAAAAATACAAAACTGAACAACTGTTTAAATTTGTATCTCCTTAATAATATATGTAACATGTTTAATAATGAAAATTTACATGTTATACCTTTAAATATCTTGGTATAACTGAGGAGGTGGGGAGAGTTCGCTCTATCTCTCGCTCTCTCGCTCTCGAAATACGAAAAGTGAAAGTCCGTCACTTTAACCAGGTTGGTGAATATGAACGATACACCTAGAGGAGTTGGAAAACCATGATTTCAAACTAATGATATACATGGGCTCTAGTATCCTGAAGAAACAAATGGCGTATAAGCTTATTGTTGGACATTGGATACCATGCGATTGCATCTCCTTGTGGATTAGACCTCTCGAAATGCTCTCACATAGTCATGTGTATATAGTCATTGTCAGGGAAGTCCTACTCACTACCTTCTCTCAGCACTACTGTTGTTTACGATATTGAAAAGACGAAAACTGAATGTCCGATGTTTTAACTGGGTTGGTGGATATGAAGGATCCACTTAGAGGAGTTAGAAAACCCCGATTCCAAACCAATGGTGTACATTGGCTCCAGTATCCTGAGGGAACAAATGGCGTATGAACCAATTATTGGCCATCGGTTACCACGGAACTGCATCTCCTGATGTTGTTCCATTGCCTTGTATATTAGACATTTATGTCGAAGGTTCGGGATGTGGTCCCCTAAGAAAACCACCTGCTTCAGTTTGGGTACCTGAGCAGTATCAAAAATCTCGTACAAATCAGTGATAACTATTACTGGCCTAATTGTTATTTTATGGCCCCCTTGAATCAATGTTTATGTATTCAGATAAAACAAAATAGAATAAAATAAACATGATACAATAACCAGATTGTAATGTTCTAAACAAAGAAAATAGGTATAAAAATGGACTCGGTTTTTTTTATATACACAATAAATCAATAATATTTGATAGGTCCTGGGTTCGAATCTCGTGAGGTGCGAACGTGAATGCTCACTGTTGAGGAATCCCACAATAAGACGAAACGACCATCCAGTTGCTTACAGATGAACTCATTTCTTACTTTGCATCTCCATTAGCTTTATGTTTATTGTATATGTTTATGAATAAAATGTAGAAATAGTAATCTCTCTATCTCTCTCTTCTGTGACAACAGTTAATTTTTATCTGGTGTAATAATTTAAACTAAGATGTATAAGCAGAGATGGATAGTGGCTAGCAGTGGAATCCATTTTGACGCGCGTTTCGTCCTATTTGGGACTCGTCAGATGGATGTACCTGCATCTCAGAGTTGATGTTCACTCTGCGACACGAACCCAGTACCCTCGCCTCAAACGCCATCACGTTATCCACTCGGCCACTGAGTCCTCATAGCCACTTGTATGTAACATGACTTCAAAATTTTAAACTAGCATTAATCTATCTTATTTCATAAAATTTCATTCTTATTAGTCTTTAGAAATAAGATAAACAGATTACAAGATGAAGATTATCAGAACTATGTAATGAGCAATACATTTCAAATAATCTGATCACACATGTACTTGGTAAGAACATTTATAACTGGAGAATAAAAGGTCAACTAGGCTGGAAATGGGGGGTAAGAGGAGACAAGGATAATAATAATGTGAAAACAATTTGAAACATAATCACTATGGCTAATAAGCTAATATTAGCAAGGTAGGTTTAGGGTGAGGGTTTTTGAATACACAAAATGGGGTTTGAATTTTCGTACGGCTAAGGCTTCAATAAACCTTAGTATACGCCTTTTTACACTTTTATACCGCACCACAAAAGCTGAATTAAGATCAATCTTATGGCCTATTTCGATTATGTGTTTGGCAATAGAGGATGATGGATGTTTATCCTCTACTCTTATTAGGTCATTTGATTTGATTTGTTTTTGCAACCATTTTTGTACATGTTCACACATCCTAATTTTCAGATCACGAATGCTCCTCCTTATGTATGTGTGACCACACACATATTTAAATTGGTGAACAAATAGAATCAAATGATCCGATAAGAGTAGAGGATAAACATCCATCATCCTCTATTGTGAACTATATAATCGAAACAGGCCATAAGATTCATCTTAACGCGGCTTTTGTGGTGTTATATAAAAGTATTTTTCATAGTAGAAAGCATGAGTCAATTGAAGCTAGACCACAATGAATTCGAATCCCGCGAGAGCGGGTTCGTGGATGCGCACTGCTGAGGAGTCCCATAATAGGACGAAACGGCCATCAATCAGTGTTTCCAGGTTTTCCATGGTGGTCTAGCTTCAATTGGCTCATGCTTTCTACTATGAAAAATACTAAATCTCCACAAAACCCCTTCTGATAATTATATAAAAGTGTATATACTAAGGTTTATTGAAGCCTTAGCCATACGAAAATTCAAATCCCCTTTGTGTATTCAAATACAGTTTGTTCTCATCTTAAACCTACCCTGGCAAAATTTGCTTATTAGCCATAGTGATTAGGTTTCGAATTGTCTTCACATCATTTTTATTATTATTATAATTTTCATAGTTGAAATCGTGAGTCAATTGAAGTTAGACCACCATGGAAAACCTGGAAGCACTGGACGACCGTTTCGTCCTATCGTGGGACTCCTCAGTGGTAGTGCGCATCCACGATCCGCACTCGCGAGATTCGAACCCAGGACCTACCAGTCTCAATTGACCAGTTCAATTGACTCACGCTTTCAACTATGAAAATACTAAATCACCACAAAACCCCTTCTGATAATTATTATAATTGTCTAAACTTACCCGCCCCCATTTCCAGTCTAGTTGACCTTTTGTTTTTATATATAAATGTTCTTAAAAATTATGTTATGTGTGATCAGATTGTTCAAAATGTATTGTGCTAATATCTCATCACATAGTTCTGATAATCTTCGTTTACTTATTAGACTATCGAAATTTTGATGTAGGTTTATTCTCTGAGCTGGATGGTTTGGTCGTGAAGCTTTCATCGTCCTTCTGAACGACATCATCGGCACAAACTTCGGGTAGAAGTGAAATGTTTGAATTTCAAGCAAAGCTCCTCTATTAAACCATCCAGCTCAGAGAACAAACCTACATCAAAATCACCCACCTGAGCAACAAATCTCCATCATCTCAAGACTATCGAAATTTATTAACGAGACTAATAGTTTTAAATTAACAGATTAACTGATTTCATTCAATTCGTCTATCGAGTATCTATGTTATAATCCAGTTTCTTCTCGATATAAAGTTTGTTATTACTTATACAGGGAGTTCCAATCCTTGATCCTTGGTTATATAAAATCCCTGTGATGTTCTATATTTAGAGGCAAAAATTCTAAGTTGCTTAGATACTGCTCACAGAAGAATTAGAAAATTCGATTTATCAAATTAATACCTAATTATTATTGAAGTATGAATTGACTACCTGGATACAATACATTAAATAAAACCTCAATATAGGTAGCTAGTTTATCAAATTCCAAATATCTATTCATCATATCCACTAAATGCTTTATGTTGTTGAACATCTAATACTTCAAACATAAAAATAAAGATAGTTTGTATGACATGGTGTCGTGATATGAAAGAAAGCTGAAAAGGACTGACTTCTGTCGATCCTTCATGACTCCCTAGCTGAGGTTTGAGAGATGGTCCAACACAGTGGCTAGAGATGTTATCAGATATAGCTCAGAATAGAAGTCAATGGCGATCCTGCTGTAACCTTCTTTCTTCATAAAAAGTGACTGTAATCTCCTTAACTGAAAGAATCCTTTTGACTTATATCTTCTCATTATTGTTTAGGACTGTAATTGATCAGTCTCTTATTAGTATATATGTATCCTGTTAGGATTGCCTTGATATTCCCCATAAGTCACAAACTTTATAAGCAAAGATGAATATTATTGTTTGTTTGAATCTTCTCATTGATGTTTTAGGACTGCAACCGGTCAGTCTCTTATTGGCATATATGCATACTGTGCATATCGCAGTGGAATCCAGTTTGACGCACGTTTCGTCCTATTTGGGACTCGTTAACTGGATGTATCTGCATCTCAGAGTTGATGTTCACTCTGTGACTCGAACCCAGTACTATTCGCTTCAAACACCATCGCATTCTCTATTCACACAGAACTGGAAAATTGCTTCATTACATTTCTTTTCTCTTAAGAAGAAAAAAGAGATTTCGCAAAAAATAGTAAATTAAGGTTATTATCGAGGCAATACTAAAAGTATGCACATATGCCAATAAGAGACTGACCAGTTACAGTTCTAACACATCGATGGGAAGATTCAAACAAACAAATACTAAATGAATTTAAACTTCACCCCATCGCACAAGCAATTGGCTATCAGAACTCAGTGGCCGAATGAATAACTTGATGGTGTTTGAAGCGAAAGTTACTGGGTTCGAGTTCCAGAGAGAATACCAACTGTGAGATGCAGGTACATCCAGCTGATGAGTTCCAAATAGGACGAAACGCACGTCAAACTGGATTCCACTGCTAGTCACTATCTATCTCTGCTTACCGTAGTAAACTTCTATCTCTCCAAAAAAGAAAACATACCCCAAAAATGTGTGTTTATATACAAAATATGTAGGTGTTTCCATGTATATCTACAACATATACATACATACACGCAATAAACATTTTTCTAAGTTTCCGCTTCTGTTTTTATCAGGTTATAACCATCTAGTTTTTTTTCTGTGTGTAAGGGGGGGAAGGGGGGGCAATTTATCATTAAATTACGTTATAAATTTAGGGTTTATTTATATAAGCAATTGATTGAAATAAACATCCCAAACACAATATTATTATATTGAATAGTGCAATACAATCAATATATATAGAGGGGTAGAGAGGGGGTGAGAGAAAGAGAGGGGGGAGAATGATAACAATCTTTCATATTTGTTTATTTTATTGATTGATCAATAATTATTATCATCATTGAACATTGAAATGTTTCGTTATTATTATTTTTTTTATTGTTTGTTTTACTTTCTCTAATAATTTCCAACAGCAACAACAACAAAAATAATCAATAATATACTATAAATAGAAACAATCCAATACCCTTTGAATTGAAAAAAAGAAAAATCGATTTTCTTTTTCATCATTGATCGATACTTATTTTTTTTGATGGTTCATATAAATAATCAGTATTATAAACAAAAATGGATAGTGGCTAGCGGTGGTATCCAGTTTGACAAGCGTTTCGTCCTATTTGAAACTCATCGATGTACCTGCATCTCAGATTTGTTGATGTTCACTCTGGGACTAGAACCCTGTAACTTTTGCTTGAAATGCCATCGAGTTATCCACTCAGCTACTGAGTCCTGATAGCCACTTGCTTGTGCAATGGGGTGTAGTTTGAATTTACTATGTATTGATTGTCTGAATCTACCCATTGATGATTAGAACTGCAACTGGTCAGTCTCTTATTGTCATATGTGCAGAGTGAAAATCAACTCTGAGATGCAGGTACATCCAGCTAACGAGTTTCAAATAGGACGAAACGCGCATCAAACCGGATTCCACTGCTAGCCACTATCCATCTTTGTGTATAATGTTTGTGAATTAAGTCAATATCGAAGCAATACGCACAGTATGCACGTATACCACAACAAGAGATTGACCAGTTGCAGTCCTAAACATCAATGGGAAGATTTAAACTAACAATACTAAGTGAATTGAAATCAGTTTTAGTTGATATAATCAGTGAAAAATTTAGAAGTTACTTGAATAATCGAATGATAACCATTTTTAGAAAGGGGATTTTGTGGAGATTTTTAGTTATTTTTATATAGTTGAAATCATGAGTTAATTGAAGCTAGACTGCCATGGAAAAACTGGAAGCACTGGACAACCGTGGGACGTGTGGGACTCTTCTTCAGTGTGCGATATGTCTCTTTCAAGGCAACAGATAATTCTGTATTATTCTACAATTGTAAAGTATTGCTTATGAAAGTAGATGATACAATTAGACTCTTTAGATTTCGTCAAAGATGTTTCCGAGATATTACTTATTTGTAGTTGAACCACCAAGTGTATAATGTTCAAGTTAATAGTAGGATACTAAGTAAAAATACTTATTCAGATTATAAGATTGTATACTTTTATCGACTGAGATATCTTTGTAATATACTATGAATGTTCAACATGAGATGGGAATTCAGCTAACAGATAACTTGAAGAAGTCTAAGAAACCTAAGACCAAGATATGCTATCAATCAGAAGAAATTGTTTACCGTTTGATTGAACTGTATTTTCAGGAAGTAACCCCCCCCCCTTTTATTCAGTGGCCTCAAATAGTACAGCCAAAAATCCGATTGTAGTAATCAAAATTCATTCTTTTTATATCGGTTTATCAATCTTAAATTTCAGCATCATTTCTCACTTTTCATTTCCTGATTTCATTCATCCATCTTTTCGAATCCTTCACTCTCTCTCTCTCACACATACACATACACATACACTATTTTATCTATGTAAAAACTATGGTGACGTAGGTTAGTACACATATGTACCCAATGCCACATTGCCTGTAGCTAATTTCATAGTTTCAAGTTAGAACCTTCAAAAATACTAACAGTTTGGCAGAGATTAAAAATGAACCCGGAAAAATGAGAAACACACATCCTAGTAATTGTTATCATCTAATACAAATCTATAGTGTCCAACGATGTTTAGTGTCAGACAGACAGCTACTAACCAAGTATATTAGAAGATGGTTGCGAGATATTACACAAGGTTTAAAACAAATCATATAAACCAATGAATTTCAGAAGAGTGTTACAGAAATTAGATGTCCAAGTGGAAGACTGAAGATTCATTGTTCGAGTCCTAGTTGTAAGGTTATCGATATAAACTGATTACGAGTTTCATACTAACGAAACCGTCATTTAATGCCTCATAGTTTTCAATGGATTTTTAACTAAGATCATTCCATAAATCTTAATAGAAACAATCTTTTTTCAAATATTGATTGTAATTATAAAAGTAGAGTAGTAACTTGGACACAAATTTTATAGGCCTAAGAATGAAAAAATGAAATTAAGAGAAAACAGTTCAAATAAAACTACAAACTAATGAAGAATGAAATGCTTTAGATTGTTACTTACTTACCTACGCCTGTTACACCTCTTGAAGGATCACAGGTCGCCCACAAGCATTCTCCACCCAACTCTGTCCTGGGCCATTCTTTCCAGTTCTTTCCAGTTAACATTCATCCTTCTGCATTTCCGCTTCCCTTCAGGATTCTAAATTAGGGTTTACCTCGTGATGCAGTTTGGTGATTTCATTAATGTATATCCTATCTACTTTCAACGTCTTTTCTTAATTTCCTCTTCAGTTGGAAGCTGGTTTGTCCTTTCGCATAAAACACTGTTGCTGAGTTTTAGATTGTAGATGGTTGAAAATTGCTCAATATAAAGTAGAATAAGGCCTACACCTTGTAGTATAATTGACTAGATTGTATAAATGATGTCAAACGATGAATCAGAAGCTGAATGTTCTATCTCTACTATATATTGTAGGAACTAAGATTTTTGCAAACCTATTCAGTTAGATACCCTCCAAATTCCTGGTAATAGTGACCATGCTGAACGATTTATATATCTTGTCTAGGCAACTTATCTTCTACACTGGAAGTATATAAGACGATAACTATGATAGTTGATAAGGAGATTTACTATGTTCATTGGGGGGGGGATCTTTAAACGATTAAAACTAATTCTGTTTAACATTTTTGTCGATAAATTTCATCCTATATCTATTTTCTAAGATGATGGATTTTAAAATCGATACTTCACCCTCTAGATGGTCCAGTAAATAAATTTACAAGCATGAAGAATAAATGAGATTTTGTCTTCTAGTTATAGAAATCAAGCTGTGAAAATTTGTCAGTGATTCATCTCAATTATATTTACCATGTATAGATCTTGGTATCAATCTACCATTTCATTTAATTAGTAGGAGTTATAAGTCGCTCATGTCATTTAGAATAGAGACGTATGAAAGTTGTCAAGTTCCTAAGTTAAATCACTGGACGTCTGTTCCATCATAACATGAGACATTATAGTATTGAACACGTATAATTTCACTGACGACTGAATCCAGGACTTTCAGGACTCTAAAAGACCGCTTGTTCTTTAGATTACATGATGTTGGATCAAAGACTATGTCTAAACTGAAATCATAATTCCTACTAATGAAAACTTTAGGTATTTATTCACTATATTGTTTTTGCTTTTATTTAGACTACAATCCCATCAATTTCATGGTCACCTCATAATTCTTTGATATTTGCTTCAATTGCTGAAGGTGTTCTCGAAATATGGAACTTAGATTATTCAACGTAAGCTACAATTTTTTTCTTGATGTTATATTTTAATTTATCATCCACCTTGTATTTTCCAGTTGCCCCAAAATGCCCTGGTACGGTCGAGAGTGGGGACAGTTTTCTCTCTCTTTCGAAATGTTCTCACATGACCAAGCGTATATAACGACTGCCAGGGAAGTCCTACTCACTTACTTCTCGTGGCATCACTGTTGTTTACAAAATTGAGAGGACGAAAAGCGAATGTCCGACGCTTTAACCGGGTTGGTGGACACGGAAAGTCCACCTAGAGGAGTTGGAAAACCCTGATTCCAAACCAATGGTGCACATGGATCCCAGCATCCTGAGGGGACAAATGGCGTATGAATCAATAGTTGGTCACTGACTACCATGAGACTGAATCTCCTTACGATGCTCCACTACCTTGTGGATCAGACCTTTAGGTCAAAGGCTCAGGGTATGGTCCCCTAAGAAAACCACCTGCTTCAATTTGGGCACCTGAGCAGTATCATAGCTCTCACACAAATCGAATGAGATTTGTGAGGTGCATATGAATCTGGTACCCTTTTGTACCAATATTTATGTGTTTAAATAATAAATAATAATCCAGTTGTGACTAGAAATATGATCAAGGATGAACGTCTTGTCCAAACTATGATTCTGTAGTTTGATGTATTATTATCCCAATGTTCATACTCTCACTTCGACTAAAATACATTACCCTCTATACCATAGAGCACAAAGTCAAGAAAACATTTATCTACAACTAACCTCATTGTAGTTTCCCCCTGTTGATATCCATAGCTGAATTAAGATCCAATCTTGAATTGATGCTTCTATTTTAATACCATTCGCTAGTTTATTATTATTTTCGATAGGAATGATAAAATGAATCCTTTCCATTCGAAACATTCATTCAATGAGCCTTTAAATACTAACAGCATCTAATCATCCTAGTTTGGAAATATCAACATTGAATTAGTACAAACGTTTACAATTATTGTAAGCAAAGATGGATAGTGGCTAGCAGTGGAATCCAGGATGTGCGTTTCGTCCTATTTGGGACTCGTCAGCTGAATGTACCTGTATCTCAGAGTTGATGTTCACTGTGGGACTCAAACCCAATACCTTTCGCTTCAAACACCATCGCGTAATTCACTCAGCTACCGAGTGAAGTTTAAATTCACTTAGTATTACTTGTTTGAGACTGACCAGTTGCAGTCCTAAACTTCAGTGGGAAGATTCAAACAAGTAATACTAAGTGAATTTACAATTATTATTAATTGTTTGTTTTGTTTTTTAAACCACGATGGATAGTGGTTAGCAGTGGAACCCAGGATGTGCGTTTTATCCTTTTTGGGACTCGTCAACTGGATGTACCTGCATCCTACAGTTGATGTTCACTCCGGCGATCGAACCCGGTACCGTTCCCTTCAAACGCCATCACACTATCCACTTAGCTACTGAGTCCTAATAGCCATCTGCTTGTACAAAGGGGTGAAGTTTCAATTCACAAGCAAACAATACTAAGTGAATTCAGTCTTTTTTCTTATTAACTATAAAACAAATGATATCAAGTATATTTACTAATATTAAGAATAAACTACTGACTACATGTAAGTAATTCAAGATAACTTTATATTGTGGTGTATGCTACTGATATCGATAGATATAAGTAGTATGTATCATCAATGGAAAGTGAAATGTCTGGCGATAAAAGGTTAAGAATATCAAAGAAAAAAAGAAGGAGAATAGAAAGTGATTGGTGTAAAAATGAAGAAATAATGAAGTCTGAGATGATTGACTGATCTTTTGGAAATGAAGTATTTACTGTATGGTTCCTATATCTTACCAAGATATTTTGTAATGCGATATTGAAACACATTTGGTTGTCTCTACTAGTGTTCCTGTTCAATACAATACAAATAACTGTACTGAACATACGTTGGAATTACCTTATAGCTATGAACATGAGAAGTTACCAAGAATTTAAGATCAAATGCTAAACTCCAATTCAAATCAAATAGTTTTTAAAAGAGTTGATAATCCTTCCGAGACACATGGTCCAATTTCAATGTAAGAAGTAACTTGAGTTATGGTTTACAATAAATTGAACCATTTGATAAAAACAAAAGGGTTGAGCAAGATCAGGAATCAGTTAAAGTTACACATAAACACCATTGAATGCCGTCTCAATGGTCTAGAGATTAAGCATCGGCACGCGAAAAATGAAGCTCCTCGGTTTGAATCCTGCGGGCAGGATTATGGATGCGCACTGTTAATGAGTCTCACACCACGACGAAATGTCTGTCCAGTGCTTCCAGATTTTCAATGGTGATCTAGATTAGATCGACTCATGAATTCAACTATTAAGATCACTACAATCTCTACAAATCTTAATTCTGACAAAATGAAATAAAACTAACCAAACTGATTAATAACCTTTGACATTTACTTTGGTACTAAATATTTCTTTTCTTCTTTATAGTGTTGATCCTTATATTTCGGAGACAATATCTACTGAATCAAATATGACAAGTGTTCTATTCTCTGAAACTAGTCAAGTGAGTATTATATCTTGTTATATGATTTATATATTATAACTAAATTGTAAACAATTTTGTTATGCTCCGATAAGGATAATGAATGGTAACTTTTGGGATCAATTTATGAACCAATACTATGCATAAATTTGTTATTGTAGTGGTCTATCGGTTAAGTGCTCCAGCGCGAGACTGATAGGTCCTGGGTTCGAATCTCGCGAGTGCGGGATCGTGGATGCTCACTGTTGAGGAGTCCCATAATAGGACGGAACGGCCTTAAAGCAGTGCTTCCAGGTTTTCCATGGTGGTCTAGCTTCAATTGACTCATGATATCAACTTTGAAAATACTGAAATCTCCACAAAACCCCTTCTGACCTATTGTATAATTGCTAAATAACTAAACTGTTCAGGTTCATGTTCCCCTTATTATGAGCTTTATTTTGACCTATGAACCACTGTCATACGATTTATCGTTCTTGAGTTATGCCAAGTCTATTAAATACTGTTCCCCACATTCACAGCCACATTTAGCTAAATCTTGTACAAATGTTATTTTCTATTTTATGGTACAATGTGATCTGCTTGATTGTTATATAAATTCGGTGTGTTTGAAAATAAGGATTCATACTGCAGAGGCTGAGATTGGTGTTCTAAACTTAACTGACTGGACTAGGCAGAAAACAGGACCAATAAGTACTCTAGACTGCTCGTACAGGTTTCGTGTGTCATTTGGTCCGATCGATAATTCGTTGCATTCTGATCAGCGGTCTTATCACGTCATACGTTAATGGGGCATCCACTCGGCCACAAGTTATAACAATACTTTTTAATGACTGTAAGTAGTCAAAAAGTAAATAGAAAATATTATTTTCTTCTATTCTCAACGGTTTGTGGTAACTTGTTTCAACATCTGAGCTACCTGTCCCTGTCATCTAAATATTCCGACAACTTATCTAATTTTGTTTATTTTAATATATCATTATGCCTATTAATCGCATAACCTATTCAGATGCGTTTGTGAAAAGTGTACAACCTTTCGTTGTACAAGTTACAAAAAGGCGCAATCAAAGATATAGTGATTGCTGGCAATAAACAGCGGAAAGAATGTACATTGTTTAAATGTCGATTGACTGGACTTCTAACTGGTGATCATTCAATATTTATCGCCAAGATCGACCAAGAAGTAAGAAACGGAAACTTGTTGAGATACTTTGTGCTGAGAATTCCATATAGTACCAAAAGTATAATATTGAATAAAGCCATTAACAATAATAGTAAGTTATTCAGTATTCAAGTTTTGTGGAGATTTCAATATTTTCATAGTTGAAATCATAAGTAAATTGAAGCTACACCACCATGGAAAACCTGAAAGCAACTAGACACCCCTTTCGTCTTATTATGGGACTCTTCAACAGTACATATCCACCATCCCACCTCGTAAGATTCGAACCCAGGACTTATCAGTCTCGTGCGCGAATGCTTAACCTCTAAACCATTGAACCATCATCCAATGGTGTTCATGTCTAACATCAACCGATCTACGAAAGTGAAATATTACATCTATTAAGGTGGGGGGGGGGCGGCGGCTGGAGAGTATTACATAATATTTCGATTCTCTTTTCAGATTAAATACTATTCCATTAGGTTCTCATATTTCATTGTCCAAAAAAAATAGTTGTAGTTTTCTTAAATATCAAATTTTTTGATTCCTTTATTCATTAATTTTTTTTTTCAATCTTCAATGTAAAATAAAATAAACAAAACAGAATTTGTTATTTGATATGTTTGTTTGTTGTTATCTTTGATGAGCTAAAAAATGTACAGATAACCAAAAATTGAAGTTAGACCACCATGACAAATGTGTAAGTAACTAGTTGGTCGTTTCGTCCTATTATGGAACTCTTCAGATTGTATTAATTGTTTATTTATGAAGTAGTTAAAGTTAGTTTACTGAAAAATTACTTGGTCTAGATCTTGTCCTAGCCTATGGCGAAGACAAGATATCTGTCTGTCAATTAAAGGACGAGTATACTGCGCATCAGTTTGCTCTGTACTACTTTACGGTTATGAAACATGGCCATTAAGAGTAGAAGATACTCGTAGGTTACTAGTATTTGACCACAGATGCCTTAGAAATATTGATCGCATCTGCTGGGATAACCGGGTAAGTAATAGTGAGGTTAGACGCAGGGTATTAGGGAACGATGGTAAATCAATTGATGAGGTGATGAATCTTCATCGACTGAGATGGTTGGGCCATGTGTTACATATGCCTGAACACCAATTACCACGACGCGCTATGATGACTAGTACTGGGGATTGTTGGAAGAGAGTTAGGGTGGCCAAACCAAAACATGGCATCAGAGCTTGAAGTCACTAACTTCTAGTCTGAGCCATGTTGGTAGATGCAGACTACCTGGTTGGGGTCCGCGTGACTATCGTAACCAATGGTTGTAGACTCTGTGTGACATGGCTCAGAATCGATCACAATGGTTTAGGTGTATACACTCTTTATCTTCCTTTAAACCTTGAGACTAAAATTGCTTCATATCTCTCTTCCTTATATACAACCTATAATTAATATACTACTACCACCACTAAATTAACTACTTCTATGAATCCGGTGTTCATCTTGTTGTGCTAACGACGTATGGCAACTTGGACCGATGCATATATGTGCCTGGTCCTACGTTGTAGCTGACTGACTGACTGACTGTCCTAGCTAATGCACATTATCAATAAGGTATGCATGTAATCATTAGGGAACTGGTATTTTCTTGTTAATTCGGAACCAAATCTATCAGTTTTATAATCTGAGACATTAACCCTGAGATATTAGGATCACGATTGGCCTTTTTAGGGGGGGGGTGGTTAAGATATTTAAATGGATAGATTATTGAGAAATGGTCAATATTAAATGTGTTTGGTGTATAATTCTGATTGAACTTCATCAACTAAGTTGTAATATATCTATAAGTTTGATCTATTCATCATCACGTGCATTATAGTGAAGCATTATGTGGTTAAATCTAGTTTACAAGAAACCTTGAGCCTAAGTTTGGTTCTAGTTAGTATCTGCAACCTTAAGAGAACTGGTCCAAGTACACCATTATAATGAATATCAACTAATAAAGAATCTTGATCCTAAATTTCCTGTCAACTGCCTTTCAGTCAGTCAGCTACAACGTAGGATCAGGCACATATATGCATCGGTCCAAGTTGCCATACGTCGTTAGCACAACAAGATGAACACCGGATTCATAGAAGTAGTTAATTTAGTGGTTGGTGGTAGTATATAAAAGATGGGTTGCATATAAGGATATAGTATAGGAAGGAAGAGAGATATGAAGCAATTTTAATCTCAAGGTTTAAGGGAAGATAAAGAGTGTATACACCTAAACCATTGTGATCGATTCTGAGCCATGTCACACAGAGTCTACAACCATTGGTTACGATAGTCACGCGGACCCCAACCAGGTAGTCTGCATCTATCAACATGGCTTGGACTAGAAGTTAGTGATTTCAAGCTCTGATGCCACGTTTTGGTTTGGCCGCTTCTAACTCTCTTCCAACCATCCCCTACACTAGTCAGCATAGCGCGTCGTGGTAATTGGTGTTCAGGCATACATAACACGTGGCCTAACCATCTCAGTCGATGAAGATTCATAACCTCATCAATTGATTTATCATCATTCCCTAATACCCTGTGTCTCACTACACTATAACTTACTCGGTTATCCCAGTAGATGTGAGCAATATTTCTATGACATCAATGGTCAAATACTGATAACTTACGGGTATCTTCTACCCCTAATGGCCATGTTTCACAGCTGTAAAGAAGAACAGAGCGTAGTATACTTGTCCTTTAATTGATAGACGGATATCTCGCCTTCTCCATAGGTGACGTAAGTTGACAAAAGCCAAACGATCTTTTGGGATCCGTGCTGAAATTTCGTCATACACCAACCCAATAGGGATGATCAGACTTAATTCATAAAATTGAGTTATTTTATTAGTTGAAATCATAAGTCAATTGAAGCTAGACCATCATGGAAAACCTGGAAGCACTGAACGGTCGTTTCGTTCGATTGTGGGACTCCTCAGCATTTCTGGAAAAATTCTTTATTTCATTCTTTAGGAAATAAGTGATATATTTTTATATTTACAGTTTACAATATTGACTGATCTTAGCTTATCAACTATTGATAACTAGAATAGCTGGTTCAGTCTAGTATGATTTTCATCAGTACAAATTGTTTGTGGAAATGGTTGAAATTTATAGTTTACATCACTGACTGATCATTGGAACTAACTTAGATCCAAAATAATGATTGCTACCAATGAGTTTCTACCAAAATTTATAATCTCATAATCTCACTTATGCTGATGAGTCGCACAATAGGACGAAACGAACTTCCACTGCTTCCAGGTTTTCCATTATTGTCTAGCTTCAATTGACTCCCGATTTCAACTATATATTAAAATATTCTTTTAATTGTTAATATCATTAAGATAACTGCTTAGGATGCTTTAAGACTGTTAAAAAGTCACTGTATATCGAAAACTATTCAATTTTATGATGATAAAATCTTGCAAACCTTACAATTTCATATCACAAAGGGGTTTTTGTGGATATTATAGTAATTCTAATAGTTAAGATCATGATTTAATTGAAGCTAGACCACTATGGAAAACCTAGTGAGAAGCAGTGACCAATGGAATTCAACCGGGTCTGTTATGAAATAATAACTCACTGGAGACAATGGTGGATGTGACGCTCAATTTCATGGATTAGTTGAAATTAGACATTAACACCGTTGGATGCTGGCTCAATGGTTTAAGGTTAAGTGTTCACGTGAGAGACCGATAGGTCCTGGGTTCAAATCTCGAGAGACGGGATCGTGGATGCGTACTGCTGAGGAGTCCTACAATAAGAAGAAACGGCCGTCCAGTGATACCATGTTTTCCACAGTGGTTTAGCTCCAATTGACTCATGATTTCAACTATTAAAATTATAATTT